ACCGAAAAGAGCAGCTGGTCAAGCTGCTCTATGATAGCCTGATGAGACTCTGCTTTTAGAGCGAACCATGACCATCTCCCGCTTGTGGCAGTCCCCGTGCATACGCGTTGCGTTTGTTAACTCGTACCATGGATCAAGATGAGAATTTACTTGACCAATTTTTGGAGCCTACTTGGTATTTAGGTAGTAATTTTATTACGTATACAACAAAAATTATTTTTCGGCAAAATGCCTCTAATTATTACTATCCTATATTTATACACCAGAGGCTGCTGAAGACATGGAAACAAGATTATGGGGTGAATGAGGAGAAACACACTTGATAAAGAGTACGTAACAGCAAAAAATTTATACCTGTAGCTCTATGAGGTAATTTCACATCTCTGTAATGATATACTTAGTTGATATGCAACCTGTTAATTGGCAGAACCAGCAACAGATGAACGTCCGGTTTTGCCGGCAGGGCCTACAAGCTTTATGAAAGGTTCGAATTATCATGATTTTAGGATTACACTGCTTTATATTGTGATACCAGTGCATTCCTGCTAACAGGCGCTGTACAATGCTCCTTTGGTTATACAAGCAAGGTCTACAAAATTAGAATAATTTCAGGCAAGCGTGGTATTGTGGTGCGTATAATGGCCGACTTTGCCCATGTACTCAGCTATTTTTTGAATAAATTAAAACGCACACCATTCATAGGTTCGAAAGACATCGATAACCAAACCTAGTACATTTTTTACGGTTTTTATTTCACAGAGTTACTTTATTGTATTCGCAGGGCAAAATTTGTAGCAAGATAAGTTTAATATTTAAATTTTACCCCGTTTAAAGGTATGCTGTGAAAGGGTGCAGACGCTGTCGTTGCTGGCTGATGTGTTTAAGTGATTCATGTGTTGATTGGGAGTTGAACGACTAACGCTGCCCATTTCAATCGTGTAACCGTGTAATGAGAAGTGAACTATGTGACTTGAAATTAATTACCAGTTTAAAGGCTAAACATTTTATTTCTGAACATTGTTAGAATTTGAAAGTTTCTTAGATTACTGTGCAGTGAACTAAGTTCGTTGAAAAAACCGACACCGGCTTGACAGCATTCAACTGATGATTCATGAACACACAGTTGAGCTTTCAAAATTTTGACGGTAATGGAATTTCTTTAAGTTGAGGTATATATCCGCATGAACGTGTTATTTTAGCTGCTCGTGTTCGTACGCTTATGGTTCTAAATATCCTAATTCATTAAGATAGCTGGATAGAATTGTGGAACTGAAAATTGAGCATTGGTAACAGTCGGCTAATTAGGAATTAGGTTCAACGGTCAACCCCTTAACAGTCGGCAGAAGCGTAATTAGGTTCATCATTCAGTCTTCACCACCAAGCCGTTGCTAGAGAATTTACACGTTTAAATGCCGTGTTTCATTAATACACTCCGATGCCGAGTGATTCGTAAGTCTGCTATGCTTGTTTCCAGTGATTAAGTGTTTTTTTCTTTGCAATGTCAGGTTTGTTACCGGAGTGAAATCGAAGTATAGTTGTGAATTGTTTACTATTATTTTAAGAAGATAATTTTTTTAAATTGCCATCGAGCATGTTAGAAAGGAGACAAATTCCAACTGCAATTTAGACGGTAGTTATACTTATATGTATAAGTTCCGTAGTTAATTAGCAGAATTTTATAGACCCATGCAAAACAGTTCGCTGAACGCAACATACTAGAGACATATGGTGAAGTGACAAGTCGTTATCAAATTATATACCAGTATATAATTTATACCCGCCTGCGGGTGGAAATTCAAACCAAGTGGGTCTCGCCCTGAATTGCATTACCGCCAATAATTCAGAATGATAATATTATTAGCCAGGAGGAATACCACATTTAAATCACACCGTGTTGAAATGACTTACACAAATCAAGCCCATGCATTAAAATAGACCTTTGTAGATCCACTTGGCTGTTGTCTGTGATTGTAGTGGGAGAACATTGAGGACCGATAATTGCGGGAGGAATGGTTGGTGCTGGTGTATGTGTGGTAGAATGCTTGGTAATGGTGAATGTAAGAGAATGCATGATGATGAATGTGAGTTGCTTGAATCCTTATGAGATGTTTGAGTCATTGTGAAATTTTCGAACAATTGTGAGATGTTTGAATTATTTTGAGGTGTTTGAATCATTGTGAGATGTTTGAATCATTGTGAGATGTTTGAATCATTGTGAGATGTTTGAATCATTGTGAGATGTTTGAATCATTGTGAGATGTTTGAATCATTGTGAAGAATGCTTGCGTTATATGAGAGAACGCTCGATACTGGGTTATGTGACAAAATATTTTGCACTGGAGTATGCGGTGGATGTTAATTATCGGGAATAGAGAAGAAAATTCAGTACTGGTGAATAGGGTAGAATGTAGAGGTAGAATAGGGCAATGCAAAAGGCCATGTATTTAATAAAACACTCCCCGCCTTTCCCCAGTATTAGGGTGAAAGGGGAACAATTTCTTCATTAGATTGTGCAGAATAGTATTTGATTACTTTCATGTTTTAATTTGACAAACTTGAAGGTCTTCAATTTAAGTTTTATTACAGTATAGTTGCCGGCGCCGAATTAAACTATTCTCATTGAATGCAGTCATTTTTTAGCTCCACCGCTATAATTAAAATTTCAATGATTTCGTGTAGCTTTTCTATTTTGGTTTAATTTTTAATGCAGCATGACTACAGAAAACGATCCAATATAATTTTTTTGAAGCATTTCTAAAAATATTTTAGTCCCAATAAAATTCAACTTTTTTAACATTAAATGTTTTGATACGACACGGAATCACTCTCTTTAAAATTCCCGTTACTTCTATAAACTCGAAGGACGCCAGTCAATTAGTTAGAAGCTATGTAGTTAAATTGCATTCTTATACAAATGGAGAATGAAAACTCATCCCAAATAAAATTTTAACCCGATACCTTATTAAGTACGCATTGTGCCTAAAAGAAGGAAAAATTACTGAAAATTTAACCATAAATATAACACACATTCACTGCAAACGAAGATTCTAAAAAATTATAACACGCATCCATAGTAAACATGCATCACAGTAAAGTTATTCCACGAATTCATAAAAACCGGGAGTTTTACCAAAATTATAACTCAAATTGAAGGCCAACGTGAATTTTAACTTTATTATAGCGATTTACGGGATATGATCTTTTTCAAGGCTGCAAAGAAGCTTGCCGCCTGAGTAGAAAACCTGATTAGATAATTTCGTTTAGAATACTTCCTGAGGCAGCTGGGAACTTTTCAGCTCATGACCAAAATCATGAATTGTTTGTTCTCATTCACTTTACAGTCAACTTTTTGAATCAGATCATAGGCGACGAAGGTCAACTAATTTGAAACCTTGGACGCAGAGACACGCACTGAAACTTTGGGCGCGCATTTTGCAGTGGATTTGATTCTCAATAGGTGAAGATAATTATATTAAAATCACCCAAACAGATGTAGATTCGTTCGGATGGTTCCGTAATGGCGTCTGTGGCTTTCCTAAAAAAGCCACACGGTGCACATGCGCTAAACGGCAGCTGCGGCGGCGAAAGCTAAATATGTTTTTTTTTATTATGAAAACAAGCCTCGAAATCATAACACTCAGTCACGGTAAACGTGCATCGTATATAAAATTCTAGAATGAAATTGACAGTAAACCCGCCCTCTACAATATCGCATTCATGTGAAGGCAGACTTCCTGCATTTATAAGATAATGATGACGAATAAATAATTTTTGCGTATTTATTTCCTTTATTATAATGACAAAATATTCACACGAGAAACCGCCTATTTACAAAAATGTATTTAAAGTCTTATATACACATCGAGTTAGTTTTGACTAGTAGGGTAGATGAAAATCAGCTTTTTTAATTTAATAAAAAATTATTCAACCACAGATCATTGATAAGCCTCAACTAATTTGCTAGTGATTTCAAGCATGTAACTGGAAGTGAAATAATTACGTTTTCCATACAATTTTACAATTTGGCGATGAACTAAATATTCAAAAATAATTTCTTGGTAGAGTTCCACTGAATATTTGAGAGCATTACTTGAAAGCTATCAAAACTTTGAATTCATTTCCCAATTTCCGTTTAACAAATAAGATCGCCACGTCCGGTTCATTAGCGCCCAGGTTAAATTGTTTTTAATGAAAGCTGTACATTTCCTAACTGGATTGAAAATGTATAGAGTAATCACGGCTGCTATCATCGATTGATTCTTCAGGCATCATTGCACCTTCATTTTAACTCTAATGTTTCCAATAGAAATTTCTGTTGGAAAATCTATTTTTGAATTTATTGAATATCTATATATGTAACCGAAAGTCATTTGAGCATCGAAGTTGTAGAATTATTCTATAAGTTCTATACTGATTCTGGAAAATTCTATGCTTCATCTGGATCAATATAGTTTACAAGATTTAATTTGGCTTAGACTCTTATTTAGTTCTCAGCTCATCCTCGACCAACAAATAAAATGATCTAAAAAGTTTTATACATCGATTCTTAGGACTACCATAGATAAAAATGGACCGACTCAAGCAATAAAGGCTTGACACTAACATAGATTACTTCTATTAAAATATTTACTCGAAACATTTGATAAAATTCATTCCCAACTTTACGATCGAGTCATCGTTAACTTCCTTGAACTTATCTTTTATGGATACGCTTTTTAATGCATTTGCAACGCCATTGCAGTTTAATTGGTTTTAAACGAAATGACCATTAGCTGGGTAATTCAAAGTGATAGAATATTTTTATTCACATTAAATATGAGTTCAAGGGGCAAATTTACACTAAAATTTGCAATTGAAGCCTCTAGAAACGCCCTTCTGCTTCAATAACATGAGTAAAACCATTAACAATGATGTATTCACGAAATCAACAACTCATTTATTTAGTCAGTGCAGGTTTTAATTTATTCTTGTTACTGGCAAGATAAAGATTTAATAAATTTCTTTGAATTAAATAGCATTAGTAAAAATTCACAACAATTCACTTCATTTTTAAAGAGCGGACGATTCTAAATTCTAATAGATGGACATATCTGAACTTTTTTTTATGCAGTGTATATACCCGACTTCCCGGATCAAAACATTTAGAAGCGTTTTCGAAGTAATGAAGTGATGAATAATTTAAATAGGTAAACATTTTACGTTTTTTTTAGTTTTCGTGAAGCATATCTGTTCAAAGATGATAAGATGTGCGTGTCTGAAATAAGACTCAATAGACGCCTTTAGAGACCGGTTATATTGATAATAGCATGATAGCTTCCATAATTAAACCGGTCACCTGAAAAAATTATGTTGAAATTTATCTGCAGTGGATGTTAAGTAGAAAAAAGGTGTAAGCTATCCATGTTCCTGAACTATGTTGGACATATGGGATAGCAATTTTTATAAAAATTAAATTATTGAATTATTTTTTAATGTGATATTTGGCGCATGTTTTTCATTCACTGCTAGATTAAGTTGAAAAATGTACGATACTAATTCTACCATTAACAATTTACCCTCTTGTTTCAACCATTTTGTCAGTTGCAATTACAATTTCAGTCATGAGTTATGATAACAGTTACAGTTACAATGTATCCTTTCGTAAGTCATCATGGCGATTAAACTGAAACACTTGCCGATTTTGAAACATTTGTGAAATTTCAAAGACTTTTTATCTCTATCGCGGACCTCTTGTATTAGAACTGTAACAACAAAACTTCCCAGGAGATGAGTCATATTCGAAGTCGTTACCAACAAATTATGTACGTAGGATGAGAGGTAAACTTTTACAACCCTCATATACGAGCTGGTTCACCTTTCAATAATCTTATATACGGGCCTAATTTGAAAGTTTGTACCGGAGGGGAGGGGAACTGGTACCGTGTTTACAATTTTCAAGCTGTTTTACAACCCTGAATCAAAAATTGCATTTATTCCCTTTCCATTACATTCCAGACCATAATATTTTGCGAATTTACATCATGTTTTCAATTTAAAAAATTCATTAAGTAACTAAATTTGTAGAAAAAGACAATATATACAATAAGCACATCTATAAATATGCAAAGTAATTGCTGATAACAATCAAATATCCAATCGATTTTTTCCTTGTAAACTCTCTTAATTCATTTCTCTGGAATAATCCTACTAATCGTTAATTGTCTCGTACGGAACGACGTTTGTGGAACATTCGAACCAAATGTAATAGCGAATGCTGCACTGAAATTTATTCGAAATAAATTTAATTACCACTAGCTTAGCAGTATGATTTAGACCAAACCTGATATTTATATAATAATTAATTTCATTAATGAGGTTTAACCTCATTATTTATGATTATAATCGACATCCGTTACGAGCTTCAATCTATATTTTAGGAATTGTTTTGCCGAGATAGTTTTAGAGCTATGGTAATTCCCCATTATAAAATAATATGCTTATAAAGTACGCCATTGGCCATAAAAAGCCACGTGATAGAAGCATTAATTGAATTTTCAGAATAATATGCATTGTAAAATAGCATGAAATTAGATGCAGGGATAAAATTAAGTAAAGTTTATGGCTGAAATGGTTATCGGTGTTATTTCGATAAGAGTTTATCTTTGTAAAAATTTTAAATTTAAATTATTCCTAACCAGTTGGAATTAGGTATATGTTGTAATGAGAGAACATATAAAATCGCCAGCAAATGGTAGATTTAGTTGTCAGCGCTTCAAAAAATCTATTAATTTACAATTAGGTAGGATAGAATCTTAAGAAGGAAGAACAATTATTGCGAAGAGATAGAATTTACCGTAACACTGAAATACATTTTATATGGCATGAAGATTTAAAATGAATTTGCGGTAAATTCCTACAGCTGGTAGGGATGAAATCTATTTGCTTATATTTTTTCATACGCAGCTTACATGGACGCATAGACATTTTAATGTTTTATCCGCACCCATGTCTCTATAATGCTTTCCGAATTTCGCAAATGAATGTATTGGCGGAGAAAAATGTGGCTGACTTTGGCGGAAAGACAAAACTTATACACGATTAAATTATCATATTTCATTTCACTATTAATAAAAATGGATTTAAAAATCGGTATAAATTTTATGTTAGGGTATGCACAGAAGATGTTCATAAGAGAGCTGTAGACGTAATAAGGATGATTCGTCCTAGAGCTTCGAAGTAATTAATATGCCCAGAATTTTCACTGAAAAAGTTCCACATAATAGTATTATATTTTTATTAGTGTTTTCTTCGCTTTGAACTCATTCTTAATCGTCTTTTTGGAGAAACTAAACGAGGTAATGCGCACGATTTCTCTAAAGATGTGAAACAATTTTACTTCTGTCCAATTTTTTCAATGACTCGATTTTTCATTAGCTCCACGAGACCTTAATTCTTATTTTATCAAGTTTTCATTAGATAGATAAAAATTATTTGATATTCACATAGGGAATTAAACGCTATACCCTTGATAAAAGCCTAGGCTATAATATGAGAGCTAGAATCCAAAGACGATTGTCGGGGCAACGTGGCAAAAGTAGAGCCAGCGTTCACAGAAGATGAAGACGAATCTCTGGGCGGGGGTTTCGGCTTCCGTGAATTGACGAGACAAGCAGAATTTGGTCCTCCACTTCTGTTGAGGGTGGCAGAACGTTGCGTAGCAGATGTTCCACTGTTGCGCTGGAGGGAAAGGTTCCCACCACCGCAATTCGTGGGGCTCGGGAACTGATTGGGGTTTGAAAATTGACATGAAGAACTCCCGTTGTAGGGATTTGGGGAATACTGACTTACGGGGAACTCGTTGCAGTACTGAGGAGGAGGGCAGTAACTTACTGAAGTGGTAGGGAACTGAGTAACTTGATGGCCGGGGGACAGGGAACACAAGCCCCCTGCAGTGCAAGGGGGGCCCGGTGAACCCATAAGTACGGAAGTACCTGTGAGGTGCGGGTGAAATATTACATTATCTCAAGGATTATAAGGAGCATTTCACATCCTGTGTAAGAAAATTGAAGGAAATTTTAATATATAACTACAAATATTTTAGAATTAGGACCGATATACTATAGTTAAATTTCCTGCACATAAAGATTATCTATAGAATAGGCAAAATCTTTGCAAAATTCTTTCCAGTAGATGAGTCTCATTTTAATACCTAATGAAATTAAGTGCATCATGTCTATATTCTACAATAGGCGGCGCTTAGGACTCGGGGAGAACGAAAAGCAGCCTCTTGACGCTCAATATAATTGCTCTATATTTTGGTCTGCGAAACATAATATTAAGCGTCTGGGAGCAATATTGAGAGATTGCGCAATATATTGCGCAATCACGCCCTCAGACGCCCAACAAATTGCACAAACAGAATCTGCCAGAATTTCAATTTAATATGTTAAGCGGAACTGAATCGTGTTCTGTCATAATTATGTGACCAAAATTTGCAGCATATAAAAGCAAAGGCTGGCAGAAAGGAACAAATAGTTCAGGGACAAGTTTATTCACAGAAAGTTACTTAACAGTAAATGAACTGAGAAATTATTTTCTAACCAGTATCTCGTACTGCTCCCTTTCTTTGAAATATTAGTATAATCTTTGAATTTAACATCCCGTAATGTTTGAAGACCAATTTAAAGCTCAATAAAGTCCAGAAGAAGTTTCTTTCGCCGGAAATGATCAGGACCCGCGATTGACGAAACTACTTCGAACGACAGTCGGGAAGCACTAGTTGAGCCAATTTTGTGCAATGTAGCCCCTAGACGGCACCTAATCTTCCCGTTTGCACAATATATTTTTAAGGTCATGAAAATCACACAATATGTCGTACCATCCGTTAATATGCTCACCAGATGCTCAATATTATCGCGTAAACCACAATATTGCACAAGAAAATTTAGCGTCTAGGGGCAGCTTAAGACTGGTAGTCAGAATGCAGCGAAGTTTGAGAGCGAGTAGTTTTTCGCGACCATCGTGCGAAATCCTTGATCTGCCCGAAGCTCGGCCAGTCGCTACCCTCGAGCTTGTACTCTTTGTAATATGATATCCTAGCCAGACCCTTTTTCGCGGAAACTGGTCGCTTTCAGGTGGCCGAGGAATGGCCAGTGGTCGGCTATATCTAATTGGACTAGGTCGACCACTGCATGGTCACGTATTATTCCTCGCCCCTCATTGAGTTCGCTTTCACCCTACCGCCCGTCGTGAACTGACTGTTCAGTAATTTACGACGTCTCTTTCCCCTCATACCTTCCAAAACGCCTGCATTTGAGCAGTTAGTATGCGGGATTTCCCCCCCGCGTATCAGCAGGCTCGATAATAACTATTTTTCGGTAGACAATATTTACAACAAGGACACTGATCAAGGAATGCCTGGAATACCATTTACTGGAGAATAAAAATTACAACCCGTTTACATATCGAAAAAAGTGTAAAAGCCGCAGACTTGGTGAACAATAATATTAAAAGTTTCTTGAAATTTCTTTTCATTATAACTCTTTTAGTACAAAGTCTACACGTTTTTTGTTCCTGGTCACCGTTTATAAATAAATAGATGGGAAAGCATGGAAAATACATATCGCAATCTCATTTACGAGTGGAGTAAAATTCAGCCTAATATGTAAAGAAAGTCATAGGGAAGAGCCGAGCCCTTTCGTAGCCTCGCGGTTCTCAATCAGAGCCTTAAGGCCGGGCTTATATCATACTGACAGGCACGTGCCAGGCATACGCATGCCAGGCGCAGTTCAGTCTGATATTCTTTAATGTATTTCCATAGAAGCATTTATACCATGGATATGGGAGATGCCGTGCACGGCTGGTGTGGATGCTGCAAAAGAAATGCATCAAAGAATGTTGGACTGGACCGTGAATGGCATAAGTCTGGCACGTGCCAAGCAGTATGATGTAACCCCGGTCTCAAACAGCCGAATATATAAATGTCTGCTTCGACTTTGGGTTTGAAGGGCAGCTTCTGGACAGCTTGCAAAGTTGGTAGGATCTGTAGGACTATATAGTCTTAGGCAACCCTTGGCATTCACTCAGGTGACTGTAAAGTCGGAAAAGATATTCTGGTCAGAAACTGATTTCGATCGAGTGGCCAAGCAGACACAGAATAACTTTAAGCCTAGTGTTAGGGTAGGGGTCGAACATGAAATTTATTCCCTGAATATCAACACTGAAAATTTTCCACAGCAAGGAAAAATTTCGGAATGAACTTGAATCGCACGTCGGGCATAGATCGCAGATAGCCCTTTCGATGATGATGACGATAATAGCCCCTAAAGTAGAATGGGTTAATTATTATTATTAAGTAAATTAAATTAGAACTCGCCTACGAAAGAAATAATTATTTTAAATAATAAGTCGAAGCAGAACTCACCTAAAGAAGAATTAATGTCCGAATCACTGGGTGCATGTTGCGAGGCTGTGGATGTGGCTAGCAGGGGAGGTGGCGGAATGAACTGACTGGTAGAGAGAGCACTGCACCCGTTCCTCTTTCCAGGCCCTGCAGTGTACGATGTCACTTCCGTGTTGCGATCCCCGATATCTGGTGGCGTAGGGAATGTCCGTAGTTCCGTAACTTGGATATCCGCGGTGCAGGTTGTAGCCACCAACACCTCTTTGCCAGGTGGCGTTATGCTTCCTTGCGTGGTCCCTGGTCCCCCTCGGATTCCACTATCGACGGTGCAGAGAGGTTGAACGCTAACGCTGTCGTATGTTATTTTAGAGCCCATTTGGCTGCGTTCTCTGCGGTATAGTAGCACTGCGAATAACATCACGTTGAGGACCAGCAGGGACAAGCCAATTGCCACAGTTAGGGTCAGTGCCGTCGTGTAATCCAGCAATGGATTTCTCTCGGAATCTTGCCCCGATGTGGAAATGTTTGCACGGCTTACGCCGACGCCGTGAGTCGCGCTGATGTTCGGACCCAAAAACTCGTTGCGTGGATTGGGAAGCATCGGTAGGGGTGATGTAAATGACGCTGGAGTCGCCTTTAAGAATCTGATGGAAAAATTAGAATTCTTGGAAAAGCAGGAAGGATGAACTGGAAATTATTTACGGTGTAGAAGTAAAGGAGCTGGTTGAATCATAGTAATGAGCCTATTAAAGACTCACTTTTGAAAAAAAAATTTGATCACAAACCGAATCCACTAAATGATTGATAAGACGCAGAAAAATCTCCTTTTAAAAATAATCACAACATGAAAAATATTGAACAATGATTCAGGTTAGAAAATAGGCTTTGATCAATGTGTAAAATAATTTATTTGATCATCTGAAAACTGATCTACATCAATGCTTCTATTTAAAAAGAATAAACAAGTAAATAATGTTTTGCGTTGACAGTGCCTGGATATTTGATGATATTTTTTGATAATTAATTAAAATAAGTATAGCATGATATATATTAGTGCTGACCTGAATGGGTCCAAGGGTCTGACAGGTCCTACGAAGTAGTCAGGATCGTCACTGTGGTGCCAGGATCGGGCCTCCTCGGCATGCAGAGCGTCTGACGTCAGCTGCAGCTCCGGCAGCAGCCAGTTCCAGAGCGCCACCTGGTGAGCTCGGTAGTGGTCACGCATGCGCGGCCGAGAACCTTAAGAGGACGATCCAGAGAATTTAGAGTCAGAGGTTGTGCTACCAAAACTCGTGATGTACACGTATAAGAAAATAATCCGGGGAATTTAGAGCTAGAAGTCGTGCTACCAAAACTCGTGATGTACACGTATAAGAAAATGATCCAGGGAATTTAGAGCCAGAGGTCGTGCTACCAAAACTCGTGATGTACACGTATAAGAAAATTATCCAGAGAATTTAGAGCCAGAGGCCGCGCTACCAAAACTCGTGATGTACACGTATAAGAAAATTATCCCGAGAATTTAGAGCCAGAGGCCGTGCTACCAAAACTCATTATGTACACGTATAAGAAAATAATCCGGGGAATTTAGAGTCAGAGGTCGTGCTACCAAAACTCATGATGTACACGTATAAGAAAATGATCCGGGGAATTTAGAGCCAGAGGCCGTGCTACCAAAACTCGTGATGTACACGTATAAGAGAATGATCCAAAGAATTTAGAGTCAGAGGTCGTGCTACCAAAACTCATTATGTACACGTGTAAGACATTGATCCAGAGAATTTAGAGCCAGAGGCAGTGCTACCAAAACTCGCTATGTACACGTATAAGAAAATGATCCAGAGAATTTAGAGTCAGAGGCCGTGCTGCCAAAACTCGCTATGTACACGTATAAATAAATGTTCCAGAGTGTTAGAAATCAAGAGCCCGCGCTACCAAAACTTCCTATGTACACGTATAAGAAAATGATCCAGATAATTTATAGTCAGAGGCCGTGCTACCGAAACTCGCTATGTACACGTATAAGAAAATAATCCATAGTATTGGAAATCAAAGGCCCGTGCTACCAAACTCGTTATGTACACGTATAAGACAATAATCCAGAGAATTTATAGTCAGAGGCCGTGCTACCAAAACTCGCTATGTACACTTGTAAGAAAATTATCCAGAGAATTAGAAATCAAGGGCCCGCGCTACCAAACTCGCTATGTACACGTGAAAGAAAATGATCCAAATAAATGGAAATCTAGGGCCCGTGCTAGCAAAACTTGTTATGTACACGTTAAAAAATACAATCCAGAGAATTTGAAATCAATTTGAAATCAAGGCTACCAAAACTCGCTACGTACAAGTTTAAGAACACGATCCAGAGAATTTGGAATCGAAGGCCCGTGATATAAAAGTTGCTATGTACACGTGGCGGTCAATTGCTCCCATTTGATTGATGAGTTTAGCGTGAAAAGCCGTCAATTATAGGCCTACGGAGTTAGGAATTCGTAATTATTTTTGATAGAACCACCCAAGCGTTTATTTCTCATGGATGAGTGCAAATGCAAATTTAAACTTTGAAACAACCGAAAGTGACTTATTGCTTGCGGGTGGAAGACCTTGATCATTCATAAATATGCTATAAAAAGTCTGTAATATATTTTTGGTAATTGCAAAAAGATGGAAACTGCGAATTAGCATACAATAGATGTTAAATCATACAGTTGATGTTTCACCATAAAACAAAAACTCCCGAGCACAAAATTTTTTAGAGCAATTTAAAGTGAAATGAAACTATATATTTCAACAACAGTTAAGGCTATCTTGTATATTTCGAGATAGTTTGCGTGGATCTACACGACATATTATTGCACAACACTCTTATACAGGGTGAACCAGAATTAACTGACCCTTTTAATTTGTTAATAAACACAAAAACTAAGAACGTTATGAAGTTGAAACTTGTTTTATTTAAAAGAAGAACATTTTTATGGTATTATTGTATCCTAGTTAAAATATTGTATCCTATTACAATATTTTATTATTGAATTAGTTAAAATACTTATTATGTATTATTAATATGTATTAGTTAAAATATTGTATGTAACATTGTATCCTAGTTAGTTACTGTATCCTAAAAACTAGGATACAATATTACCATAAAAATGTTCTTCTTTTAAATAAAACAAGTTTCAAGTTCATAACGTTCTTAGTTTTTTATTTATCAACAAATTAAAAGGGTCAGTTAATTCTGGTTCGCCCTGTACCAACGCAGTTCGCGTTCGCATGCAGCACTCACTTATTTCCAGGTAGTTCTCGTAGACAGGGTCATATTTTTGCCACGTCAAGTTTTTGAAACGCGAACGTTCAGGATAACTTAAGTTTGGCTGGCTGCTTTCTTGCCCATTTGGAGTTCTGTTCAGTTTGAAAAAGTACGAAACATATTATCGTTAAATTTTTTGCCTAGCTTCATTAATAACAATTTCTTGCTACAATTGTTCTCGCTAAGAAAATTGTGATAGGGTAATTTAAGTAACCATAATGAGCTGCCGTACGTTATAATTGAAAAATTATTTTTATGTGAAAATATTATTTTTTTATTATATTTGAGTTAATAGGAGAACAATATGATCCACCAAAATGATTAGATCCTGATTCCGAATGATTTACACTTTCAGAAATAGCGTATTTATTTTTGGATCGTTATTAGTATCACTGTTCAGTTTTTTATATTTTTCTCTAAATAAATGAGTTAAATATTGATTAACTTGGCAAGCACTGGCTCAGCAAGCTATGAAACATTGCAAAATAATAAGCTAAGGCAACTTACTTACTATATAATTTTAGTAACTCTATTCAACATTACACAATAGATCCCAATGCGTAACAATAGATTCCAAATAATTGATCCAATAGATTCCAGGTCGACTAAGAGTTGTCATGCCACTTAAGAGAAAATAAGTCGTAATTCATCAGTTCAATAATAATTTGTGTTCATGACAAAAAACACTCACCCAGATCTCGCAAAAGTTGACCACAATTTCATGAGTATTTCAGACACGTGAGCATCATTTCGGGTGTAGTTGCTTGTTGAGACCCAAACCACACTGGGTACTGTGTCTTCAAATTGGAAACCAGATTCAGGATTGTCCCTCCTGGAAAGGTGTTGTCGAGATGTCCCATAAGATCCCGGTTTGTCTGCATAAGGTTCCGGTGAATTGGAGTAATGTCCCGGGGAGTTAAGGTAGCTTCTTGATGATGTGGGTGGAGTGGTGACATCGCTGAAAGGTGCCCCGAACATAAGGTCTAGCTCAGATGCGAATTTACTTCCCAAGCGCTGAAAAAATGAAAAAGATTATAAGTTTTACATGAAATTATACCTTGAGAAAACAATATCAAACGTATACTACACTACATTTCCGAAGCATGTATTATATGTGGGATGCATGCATTCCGTGTCGCAAATCATTTCTTTTATATGGCGACTCATTGATTATGCACTATATGATTTAAATATTTCTATACTTTTACTGGATTTATAGCCTGCATAGCCCTTATGTTATTTTTTTGTCAAAAATTAATTTTGGAGTAAAAAACGATAAAATATCTAACGTAACTTTATTAAACAGCTCGTGAAAAATTGGCATTACGGAATGAACTCGATGACTTGCGCTGTGTAAAGCGTAGACGTATGCGTAACATACTGGATCGTACTTGATTATCAGCGTCGTGGTGAGCGTAGACGTAGACGTAATATTACGGAACCTACCTGATGATCAGCGTCGTGGTGAGCGTAGACGTAGACGTAACACTGCGGAACGTACCTGACGATCAGCGTCGTGGTGAGCGTAGACGTAGACGTAACATTACAGAATCTACCTGATGATATGCACCGTGGTGAGCGTAGACGTAGACGTAACATTACAGAATCTACCTGATGATATGCACCTTGGTGAGCGTAGACATAGACGTAATATTACGGAACTTACCTGATGATCAGCGTCGTGGTGATCGTAGACGTAGATGTAATATTCTGGATCGTACCTGATGATATGCACCGTGTAGAGCATATCTCTTATACACATCTAGATGTGNCAAATCCTGTAAACTAAATTAAAATATATGAAGACACGGAGAGGTTTCTGTCTTTCAGTTCCTGTGTAGGAAATCAAAATAAATATAGATTTATCTGGAGCATGAAGACACCGACTGGTTTCTTTCCTTCAGTTCCTGTATTGGAAATCAAACTAAATAAAGATTTATGTGGTGCATGAAGACAAAGACAGGTTTCTGTCTTTCAGTTCCTGTGAAGGAAATCAAAATAAATAGAGATTTATCTGGTGCATGAAGACACGAACAGGTTTCTGTCTTTCAGTTCCTGTGAAGGAAATCAAAATAAATAGGTAGAGATATTTGTGGTGCATGATACACGAACATGTTTCTGTCTTTCAGCTCCTGCAAACCAAATCAAAATATACACGTGGAGATTTTCATTAGCTTCAAGATTCCATTCATTTTCAAGAAATGAGGTGATAAAGATGGATTAATGAGAATCACACAATGAAGTTTTGGCTTTAGATGAGTTGAAGAATAGAAGCATTCTCCGCATGAAAAACATTGAGAGATCACTTTATTATCCACTTCATGGCAGCAAGAATGAAGATTCTTAGGTGTAGGATTACATAGAATATATTAAAATATATTAGTGCGTTATGATGTCCGGAAACTTGAGGAAAAAGTACATGAGAAGCGTGAAAAACATAGTTGCTAAATTGAGCATTATACCCACTGAAAGACATAAATAAGAAGTACTATATATTTGTAATCTGCAATGTTTTGAGCAAAATAATGATTTCTTCTTCAGAAAATAACGCACAAACAAGTAAATGAATTCACGCTACAAGTTCTTTTAGAAAATGTTTCCTTTGTAAAGTTATTAGCTTTAAAGCTTAGCGTTAGAAAAGTATGAGTAGAAGGATAACATTTTTTCTTTGCAAGAGATACATAGTGTGTTGGGATAACTAATGAGAAAAGATGCTGTTTTTTCATGCCATCTCTTCATATTGTACAATGATGAAAGGAAGGATCACGATTAAAGCTTAGTGTATCAGGAAGATAGCGAAACATTTAAGATAATATAGCTGCAAGGAAATAATATATCTATAGATATATTATATATTATATATATATACACTACTCCTAGAGACGTTGGAGCATAGAAGTGAGTTTAACCTTTAGAAAAGTTGTATAAGCATAAACAGATCACTATTTCGTGATCGAGAATCACGAAAAATAAGATGTAAGATATTCTTTTGTATGCAAAGATTGGTGGCAAGATATCATAATGTTGCTTAATTATTAATAAATAGGAATGTTGTCAATCCGTGCTGTACGAATCCATGTGACCATTCAAAGAACATCTGAGAAATTTTGAACACACTATACCTTTTCCAGTGGAAAAGGTATAGTGTGATTTTTAGTTGATTAATTTCTAAGAAACAATCGTGACAAATTAAAGATGCCCATCAGTTGACTGAATATTTGCGGGTGAGATCGTTCGAAATACTTTAGAGTTTGAAAGTGTAATAGGGCCGTAGTATCGAAAGTACAAGTTACGATCTAAGAACACGTAGCGGCCGTATATTAATTGCTAGGAAATCCGTCAGTGATTGACCGACAGCGTTTCGAACTCGTAAATATTTTTGATATCGTGGCCTCTCTGCCTTCGTTCACAGTTACACTGGGAAGCATCCTGCATAAATATTTTCCTCATCCAAGTCGGCATAAGCATGTGGTCCCCGTATCAGAGCTGCGGGAAAGACAGTGTAGAACTTAACTAACGTACAGCCTTTTGGGGCCGTCCAACCAAAATGGTTTCGAGTACGTAACCCAGGCCCTCAGCCAATCATTGATTGTAATACCTTCATGCTAAACCCAGGAGTCAGTTGAAAAATTAGCAGCCATGTGTATTTAGGCCCCTACGGTGTGCTTGAACAAGTTTTAATGGTACGTATGTACCCAGTTAGCCAGGCTGATAAAATATGTTCTTACTTACCTCTCGCTGCCATAGTTAACAATCGATTTATGTGCTATCATTTTAGACATAATCAAGTTCCAATTGAAATCATCGTAGTTTAATTTCAGATGGAATATTTTTAAGCTTGAATTCCTGATTCAGAACCAATTTTTCTACATAATAATCAGGTCCGAAAATTAAGTAATTATATATCAAATTATGACGCTTACCGCCGTATTGCGTATTTCTAAGAATAAAGTTAAACATCCAAGCAATTTTACTTCAATAATAATTATTGTCGTTTTCACGTAATGATGGCACGAATGTTAGTTATTTTCGTCACTCTTTGTTGTCAGCTATAAATTAAAATCCATTTAATTTCGTTAACTATCGTCTTCATAAGCAACAGATTTTCCTATGAGATTCAGAAATGATTTGTTATCGGACCAGCCATATTTTAATACATGAATTTGACAAGCTTTGACAAATTATTGCTATTAGTTTGTCCATTTGTTAGCCCTCAACTCGATAAACAGAGAATTTATTACCAGAAATGACCATTTTTCATCTTGAAAGTCATACAGAAAATTTATAGGTTGATTTTTTTAGCTCGAATACCAAAGGCGATTGATAGAAGCCAATTCTTCATTACAGACGGGTAATAATGTTTTTTAAATAATTTAATGAAGGGTAGAAGAAATAATAAAATTTAGGTTCTATTACATTATTTAAAAGTAGAGTTCAGTGAATAGTTAACATAAAGATCGACTGAATGATTAATTAATTAATTGATTAATCATTAATTCGAAAAGATTGTTAGGTAATGTTATGCAATATTTGGTATTGCTTACTTCGATTCGATTGCTGTTAGATTTTGCTAGCCTCGATTCTGAGTCACCTCTGAAAAATGTCACCTCTCTTGGCCAAGCCTGTTACATTGACATTGCTATATGGCTCTGAAGTTGAAACCCGAAATCATGGCAATATGATAAGAACAAAAGCGAACGAACGGTGCATATATTTTTGTATTTATTTGTATTTGAAGTTTGATTATCATAGTTTGTGTTTATCGTTTTATTCATCCTTCAATAATTGGCGGTGCGATCGTGTAAACCGAGTTGGTGTGTTCTGGTGACCCCGACAAAATAAATAATAACTCGTAAGTTAATGTTCAAAACGTTCGTTTTATCGCAGATCCAGCATTAAACACCAACAGAAAATATAACTGGAAATAAATTGGAAATCGATTGTAAAATTTTGCAATCAAAACGAAAATTGGATTCTGAGTCAACTGACAATCGAATCTATAAATGCACCATTATCAAAACTCTAATTGAAAACTACATAAATTAAGAAATTCGTGAATAACACATGAATATAATTAAGTAAAAACTGATTTTTCAGATTTCATTTGGTTTGGAATGAATGAAGTGAGAAATCAGGAATGAATGAAGTGAGATGGTTTCCCTTGAGTGGAAAACCATCGTTTAAATCAAAATTGGTCCGAATGACATTGAATAATTTTGAGTCACTTCAACAGCGACTGTTATTAGAAATGAGAAGTGAATTGGTTTAGGAGTTTAAATAATATACGTTACTTAGCCACTTAATTACGCCAAGACTTCGGCTATTGTCAGAGTTCAAGTGCTTGATGGTAAAATAATATCAGAGTAGCTTGAAAATGGGAGGAAAATTTGATGTTATGAAATTTAATTCTCTTAAATTAATTCATTTTTAACTTGCGATCTGTGTTAATTTTTTCATTTGATTGCGCAGTTTTACTCGTGCAAAAGATTCTTTCGCGGAGCATGATATTAACATCAAGCCTTCTTCGAAACTTTTCACGGAAGGTATTTGAAGAACAATTGTTTCTCCATCGAAATTTTGTGTGTATAGCAATCGTGCAAATGCTCATAAACTGCATCTTGTGGAGTTTCCTAGATTTTTGACAGGTGGCGATGTAATTTACGATGCATGTCGTGAAAAAAATCTGCACTGAACTTTAAGATACATCCAAAGACAATGAATCTCTCCTATCTTGCTGCAAGACACTTAAGTAACACTTATTTTTCTTACGATATTGGAACAATATAACCCGAAAATTACCCAAAAATGATGTGAAAACCTTTGCCAAAAGTATTGATCTCTCCTTGGCCACGAACACTGAACTCGAAGTCTGGTCACCGTGCCAAGAAGTTTTCTTGTTAACGGAAGAAGTTGAGTGGAAGAGGACGAGTTTATTTTCCATCTTAACAAAACAAGTAGAATAGAAGCTTGTTTATTTTGAGCAACTCATCAGCAAGGATGGAGCGAACGATGTGCTTCATATTCTTCAATGAGAAAAAATACCCGACTTTCGTCGTCTCCCTGAGATATTTTCGCTGTCTCCGACGAAGATAAGCTACAGAAAGAAAGCATATCAGTTCTTATTGCTGACGTTGCTGAGATTGCTGAAGCGACAACTGCTGATGAGGTTAACATTGCTGCTATGACTGCTGTTGACAGGCTTAAAATTCTCCTGTGAATGTAGCTAACCTAGCCACGGTGCAACCGTAAATTTTTGAGACGTAGCTGATACTGCGAGCTGTTGCAACAACATTTGACGAAGATTGAGCTGCATTCGCGACAGTTTTTATTAGGCAAATTTTGCTGCTACTGCAACTTTATAATGCAATATTCTTCTTTTGTCGTGTTCGCGTGTCCGTTAAAACATGCTCAGACCCCAGCATTGGGTTCAATACCTGCCAATATTTCCTTGTGTAATATAATTTATAATTTTCCTTGTTACATAATTTTTTCTTGTAATAATCGCCACAGCAATCACGTCCTTAATTCATTCAAGAACAATCATAAGACAAGTCAAGTAGAAAATTTAGTCACAAGTCAATATTCAAATACGTCCTAAACAATCAAGTCAAACAATCAAGTCCTTAAATGTCAAGGCATGCTAACCCGAAATTTATGTCAGAGGCTCTACGAGTCCTATATAACTCACGTTAAGGCTTTTCAAGTCCTACCTAATGTCCATGCATGCCATGGCCTATCCATATCAAGCAAGACATGTCAAGGTCTAATTCATGGCATGACTTGCCAAGTCCTAACTTGCGTCAAGACGTGCCAAGCCTGAACTTATGTCATCAAGAGTTGCCAATTCGATCCGCCCCCAAAATTTTAGGCGTGAAGGATTTTCTCAGCGGTTTGGCGAAGGAACTTGGACGGGAACTTAGAATTAAATTGACCAAGTTGATAGCTCAAATTCGGCGAAGTAAGGCCATAAATTTTGCATGCGGCAATATCGAGAAGCTGAGAAATTAGGGAACAAACCCACAGAACTGAAATGGTGGCTCTAGAGCGACGTCAAACTGCCGCAATAATTCGTTACTCTGAACGACGTCGATTAATAATGCTATTTTAGCATGCTTCGTAGCAGAAGTTTCGGCGTAGAAATATCCAATTATCGAAAGTATTTTTTAGGCTAATGGGTTAATGTAATTCACGATTATTCTATCGTAACATTATTTTCACGAATACTTACAACCAACGGTATACAGTATGCAGGCTGAACGTTCAAAAGTAAATATCGTTGACTAAAAATGTTGAACCAAATCCATTATACAAGTACATAATTTGCTAATTCAGGTGGAAATGAGTTGATTGATAACAATATATTTATTTATATTTATGCTTGAATTAATGTATAAACGAAAATTCAATTGATCTGAATAAATTCAAGGTTTTCATTCGGAGAAATTTATAGCAATGAATTATTAGCAATGCAAGCAAAACAGAATTAAAATAATAAAATGGACGAGCGGATGAGTTTGCCAGTCAACAAATAATTTATTTTTGAAGTATCTCAAATTAAATTAAATAGATATAATAATTTTTGATCTGATCATCATTGATATTTGATGAATAAATCTGTCATTGAGACCATAAACCTCGGTCGAGCGTGTACGCTATCAAGCCTCCCATGCTGCGCGATACCGGCATCTGACGTGACGTTGACTGGCACTTCGCTCGGCAGTAAACTTGGGTTCGGAATTGAAGCATAATATTATGGTGAGGTGAAGCATAATATTATGGTGAGGTGGAGCATAATATTATGGTGAGGTGGAGCATAATATTATGGTGAGGTGAAGCATGATATTATGGTGAGGTGGAGCATAATATTATGGTGAGGTGAAGCATAATATTATGGTGAGGTAAAGCATAATATTATGGTGAGATGGAGCATAATATTATGGTGAGATGGAGCAAGGTGGTGCTATCAACGCACCGTTCGTTGAAACTCCTATATGCCACCCACATGGAAATGAATTTTTATTTTAAGACTAACGATCAGCGTTCTGCTTTTCAACAATCTTCATGCTTCGCAGCAAATTTTCTTATTGAAGAAAAATTGTGTGCGTCTTCACGATTTTTCTTCAATAGGAAAATTTTCTGCGAAGCATGAAGATGTCGACGAAAAGCAGAACGCTGATCGTTAGTCTTAAAATAGAAAATATGTATTTTTTTGTCCATTTTCGTACCATCTGTAAGAAAAATTAATAAACCGTTTCTATTGCTAAATGGGTATGGTCGTACGTTAAAAATTAGCATGTTATTTTTTCCCCGTTAAATGCAGCCTCAACTAGAATCAGTATTTCGAATTAGACTTTAAACCTTCATCAATTTTGCACCTATTCCACAAGAAAATTCATGGATTCATTCCAAAAAGAATAAAACATGCACTACCAACCATGAGCAAAAGTTGACATTTAGCTCCTAATTCTCCATGTTATTGCTTCATAAAGAAAATATTGCTATAATTATCTTTACGAATGCTCTAAAGTGCATTTTGTACCACATTCGCAGTATTATTACATCACTTATTAGCGTTATTAGTATACTGATAAAAAATAATTATTTCAATACTCATTACAGGAAAGATGACATGATAATGGGAATTATCCCCATTGGGATTAGAAAAAGATGGGATTAAAAAAGATTCAATTAGATTAAGATTAATGGGATTAGAAAAAGATTCAATTACTTAATTGCACCACGCAAAACCACATTAGTTTCTCATCGGCAATAATTCCCATTCAGACATTCAGAATTTCAATGAATTTAATTGATCGAGGAGATTCGATTATACAATTTCAATGTTTATTTACAACAGTTATCATATTGTGAATATTATTTACACAAAATTTCAGGTTTAACCTCGAAATTAACGTTAAGATTTAGAGGACGTGGAGCTTGTCGGTGTGGTCAATTAAGTTATTGCATGTACATGCCACTACAGAGTTGTCTTTCAGCAGGCATAGGACGCCATTAAATATGATTCAATTAGAGGCCAGTTAGCATTTAATTGGGATCTGCCTCCAAAACAGCGCTGCATTGCTATTTCTAGCACAAAAAATCAAACACGGTAACTAAGCCCAATTCTCGTAAACAAGAGAGCTGGAATTAGACAATCACAGCATACATATAAGATCAGTTATGTATAGTAATTTTTTTGTGTGTGCATATTACATTCAACTGCATTTTCTACGTCAAAATGGGTCAATGATCTCTCGTTCATGTAGCATGTCAATCTAAGTATTATTAAACTCTCTCAGCTGATGGCTCTAAATGATGATGTTTATTTCCATTATATTCTTTCCATTATAAATAAATTCAATATGCCGACATGTTCAATGGCACTCTATCATTCTATATGCAATTGCTACACTTACCTTCACACATTCTTCGCATCTAATTATTATCACCATTATAGTCCACTCAAATCTCACCTCCCATCTCTTCTTTTCTCACACCGTGCTCCCGCTCTGTGCTGAGCTCTGCACTCACCCTTAACCCTCTACCGCTGTATGTCACTCTCCGGGAACATAACTTTCAACTAAAATTACACGTTAACTATTAAGTGTAGCAACCTTAGGACGTTTGTACGCAACAGAGAACATTTTAAAGTTGTCAAACGTGGCGGCAACCATCAGTGCAAGTATATTTGCGTTCACTAGAACGTATCCTTTTTGGGAAGTAGTCTTATGACAAAATTGCTCCGGTTACTCATGCCAGGCGGTAGAGGGTTAAGCAATGTCTACTAGCCCTGCCCATATTGTCTTTTAATCGTGGTCACGAAACTTCAAACCTTCAGACCACTCATCATCCCTCTCACCCTTGCAAGTCTGATCTTGTAGTCAGCGGTTACAACGACACCGTCGACGCTGGGGCCGAAAAGTGAAGCGAACTTGTACTTGGGGAGCGGTGCGTTGACGAGCGTCTGGGCGGACAAGTTCCTGAGACACACGATGGTCTCTGGGTGTTGCTCCCTCAGATCTGAGGGTAGAGAGCAGTTCAGTGCTCGCGCCAGGCGAGCCGTAACGGAGATGCCATCTTGGACCTCGGCCCAAGAGCTCAGAGCTGAGCCTGACATCAGGATGGCCCGGTGGAACAAACCTGGTGGAAAATCATTACAGATTTAGTTAGATTTTTTCTAGAACTTGTTGCGTCAGAAGAGCCTCGTAGCCTGCTTTAGGTAGATTACGGGTAATTTTAAAGGAGAAAAAGATCCAAAGTGGATTGAAAATCCAAAATTGAAGGATATGACAAGGAAAGGATCCGAAATGGTTTAGCAAATCGAAAATAAGGCAGACGTTTATAGATAATTATAATTGGTACCCAGTGGATAGAAGTAATTTACAGTGTTTATAATAGGAGCGAAACGTTCGTCTTGCAAATTCTCATGACATTGTGGCAGCATTAAAAAAGAACAGACTTTATCGAAGGCACCTGCAAAGGGGTCCCCAAAAATTCTCTAATTGAAAGAAAGCAACAGGGGAAATTAATAATTCATGAAACCAAATGCTGCTTTACGAATTATCTAAAATCTGAAAAAATTTCATAAAAATCCCATTAATCGTTCAAACGTTCCATTTTTGATACACAATTGTAACTTTAAATCAAATATATCCCCTTAGTCTTGGTAAGGTCCCAAAACAGCGATATAGCAACAAACTAAGCAAGAGTTCTTAAAAAAAGCCTATGTCTGCTCCGGACTTCCTGATTTACTGGACGTCAGCAAATTGTTTCCGTGCAGAAGTCAGGACGATTTTCGCCATCCTAATGAAGCCATCCGAGATAACGGCGCAAGTTAAGCCGGTATCACAGATACGAAAAGTTGTCCCGCACAGCTTTTGATTTTCGATTACCCATCATTGAACCTTTTATTCATACGAAATTTGTTGAAGGATCTGTGATAGACATGAGATGTAATTTAAAATGATAGCTGTTCTAAGGTCTTGATGTAATTTAGCGAGTCTCGGCAGCATCCTCTTGTGCATGCAGAGTGCCGATGCTAAAGTTGTAACAGAGTTCAAGTTTAAACTTGGTGCCATCACGAGTTGGCAAAGTTCTAGACCTGAGCGTAGGGCCCGAGAATAAATTTATAGAACATCGTCTAGACTTCGATTTCTCACTCTAATATATCACTCTAAGAATATCACTTAAAATGTTTTTAATAGAGATGTACGTATAAATTATACTGTGGTGTGCTCGGTGTTTTTTGTTATATGTCTACAATTACGTCACACGAAAATACGCTGCACGCGTTAAGGAACTCCTGAATACCCGAATGAAATTTTTATTATTTTAATAAAATGTGTTGATTTGAAGTCTAATTAGATATATTTAACGTTCAGTAATATTGTAGTAATTAGTGACTTTTCTATTTTTTCATTCACTGTTACTATGAATTTCGTTGAAAACCGCTTATCTGCCGAATTCGTCCATATCTGCTGAATGTACTAAAACATATAATATAATATAATATAATATAATATAATATAATATAATATAATATAATATAACATGTGTAATTATAAGCTACCTATTTCTGATTTTAGCTCAAATTTACAGTCCAAGATTAGTCGAGAAATATGACCAGAAACTTGGTCATAACGTCAAATGTCAGGCGCCGGCATTTAGCCAGCCACCCCGCATGCATAACTAATTAGCTTACAAATTAAAGGCTATTAATCCAGAATTATTCCGCGGCTCGTATATGATCGGCTACATTACTTGTAATTGCATTCATTCTCATGAATGATTGCGAAGCGTAAATCGTTGCACACAAGCCAAATCATCGGATAATTTAACGTTATAAACCGAAACTAATTGCTTAGCTGATGGTCATAGCAGTGCTGCTGCATGTGTTGTATTATGTTTTACACACGATTTTAACATGATAATAATGTTTACAACTAATATGAAATCTTATTTACAAAGCCATCCGGAATAAAACTGATTTTTAAAATTCTCGCAATTAAATTTAAATTTTTAGTTGAAGCCGTAATTTTCGTAAGGGTATTTATTTACGTTTCATTCTTTCTTAATCTCAAACATATTGGCTAAATTTGATAAAAAACTGCATTTACATATAATTTTTCCATTAAGTCCTGACCTTTCATCTTAATGATAGTAGACCGGAGCTTAAAAACACGTTAGGTTATTTCCCGAGATTATAAAAGTTTTCAATAATAGACAGAATGTTTTTGTTGATTTGACAACAGCAAGGTGTGTGCTTAATTTTCTTTATAATGTACATATCGTGTAACACTGTTTTGTTCAGCTCATATAGATATTTAAGAGGTCCTATATATAACCCTAAAGGCATACAATTAGTTCAATTGTTCCAAGAAACATCATAGTTGTATTAGAAAAAAATTCAACTCTTGTTGATTTGACAACAGCAAGGTGTGTGCTTGACTTTCTCTATGATGTACATATCTTATAACACTGTTTTATTCAGCTCATACCTCGACATTTAAGAGGTCCTATACCTATATATCCCTAAAGGAATACAATTAGTTCAATTGTTCCAAGAAACATCATAGTTGTATTAGAAAAAAAATCAACTCTCTTCTTCACCTCTTCTTAAAAATTCACCTGCAGTTTTCAGTCATCCAAAGAGCCTTATTTATCAAACCTACATTGGATGAGGAAGCAGCACTCGCCATGTTCTGTTAGATCGATTAATGTTCAGTGATAACAATAAACTGTGTTCATAATTTTGTGATTAAAAATTCATGTTTCTTGGAAAATTTTCTGAGGGGTGTCAGGATATCACATTTCAATCCTTATCTAAATTATTCGAGAACAACACGCTAGTTTGTTTTCTAATCTCCATTCCCTTTTACAATGGTTTCTCCACGTTTTTCTGCGAGTAGCAAGAAATCTTAGCGTTAATATGTAATCCCCAGTTTGTAATAATATTCAGAAATGCTGTTGTTTTCATCAGCGTTAAATATAACCCATTGAAAAATAATCGGCTTAAGATGATAAATTTATTCGTGAATAACATAGAGTTTACGTTGCGGTGCTTGAGAACTCAAACACTCATGAATGATGAAGAACTCATAAATGATGCAATCAAAGCTCTGGGTCGTGTCCTAGGACGCTAAGTAATTCTATCCCAGCATCCCTGCACTAATTCTATCCCTTACTGTGTGTACGTAGAGCATATGGGCCAGGATCACGTGACAGGACCTACACAGAGTTATCTATGAAAGCAATATTTTAAGCGTTTAAATAAATCGAGGGACTTTTTTGCTCTTCGTAGAGGGAAGCAATATTTATTTAAAGTCTTTAATTAAATCAAGGGACTCAAATCAAGAGCAAAAGGGACTTTTTGCTCTTCAAAGAGGGAATAAATTGAATATGCTACAACAAAAAATGAGACCCTTAAGAGCGTATTCTACGTAAGTCCGAGAATAAAACCATATCCCGACATATGGGACGAGAGCAGCCGGTACGTTATATGGTATCCACGTGATACCATCACGTACCAAACATTGATGGTACGTGGTGAGTGTACTATGTTCGCCTAATGCAGAAAACGAGTGTCATCTAAATTGCACAGATCAGGAAAAAATTTCCACAAGTCATTAAGCAGGGATTTTGGAATTCCCTCAGCTGGCCTAGTTGTTATTCCAAGAAATTAAATCAGATTAGATCGACTTCAAAATTGCCTTTACAATTTAGGTACAAAGATTTCGAATTCTTCCCTAATTGTTGCCTAATTGCATGGTTTGTAATTATTCCTAAATATATCTTCAAAGAACTATTTAAATAAGAAAACGAATGGTCTTTCCTAGTTGAAAACTTTGTATACCATCTGTTTTGTTTTTCGAGGGCATGAAAACGTGAAATATATTGCTTAACATCTAAGAATTATCAAGCGGTAATTAAATTTAACTTTGATTAATTCATTGCAATGTTTGTGAAGGAATCAATTGTGGAAGAATAGAGTCATTATTGAGAATATATTTTGGTACTCATCCTACATAGATAGTCATAGCCTCTAAATCTCACAAAGATTTCTTCTATAATATCCAAAGATTGAGTAAAATCAACCCAAACTTTCACTCCGTCGGCAGGCAATCAGCCTTGAGAACAGCAATCAACGGCCGACCCTGCCAATCATTTCACAGGGACTCGCTATTACTCAAAACTATGGCGCTGTTCGCAGAGTTCGAGCCTGGAGTTCGTTGCTGGCTTCAAAATCAGGAGTACGTTACAAAATGTTGACCCGACCCATACATAGCTGTTGGTTATAAAAATTGATACGGCCACGAAAAATATCATTCGTTATTTCCGTGAATTCCTGCAAGCCTTTGAATTGAAAATTTTGGAAAACTACTAATAATGATGAGAATTGTCTCTGAATGTAAAATTTCTAATGATAGAATCTATAATAAAAAATGTCTAACACTAAACCAGCATCTACTGTATATGCGTTGTAAGGTCACCTGTTGCAGCGTAATAATAATAATAAGTAATGATTCATTCATGGTTATAAATTTACCATAGAAAATTTTACCTGAATTATACGTTTTTTTAATATAATATAATATAGCGGTTTCAGCGTTTATTAGGCCGTAGACCGATCGCCGATTATTAGGCCGTAGACCGATCGCCGATTCCTCTTCTGTCGCCGAACCAACTCTTCCCTGATACGTGCTTGTAAAATAGTCAGCACAAAATGCTGTCGTAAAAAAATTCGCAGTCACGCTCTGCCACGTAGAAGATATTTCTTATGAAACATGAGCTTCAAGCACGGCACCTTTAGAAGCTCGGCATAACGTAACCCGATTGTGTCTTGGCATACCACATTCTCAAGTTCCATGTCCTTTGAATAACTTATACGTTGCAGCCGCGGCGACAGTTCTTTTCTACCAACAACAGTCCAAAAAAACGATGAGAAAATATCATAAGATGCTTCTGAAATGTGCATTGTAATTTTGTTTTCTGGTTGATCAATTTATTACAGATAAAACCCACCGAAATAAGGACAAATAAGAACTTGATTCTATAATCGATGAGATTATCTTTAGGTGAATAGGCACCGGCGAGTGACTTATGAAACAGAAGTAAAAAAAGCATTGATGTAATAATATTACTTCATCAGCAAACCCGGTGCACTATTTATTACATTGCAAACTAAAACTTTCACCCACCTACCCTACAGGCGCAATAATAAATCAAAGGTCTCCAACAACATATTAGACCCTCATCACTCTTGCCCGACGACGCAACCTGTGGTATCCACATTCTTATATTTGTCTTGTCATTTACCAACCTAGCTGCATTATATGGCGTAATACCTACGGAGTTCACTAAGCAATTCTTTCTACATGTTCAGTATGCCACTCGCTAGTCTAATAATGCACTGGGCCAGCCACTTTATTCCTCGACAAATAATTAGTCTTACATTATACAGCAGACTTCCTATACCCTTCCCTAGACAAATGATATTCCAGTCCAACAATATAATATGTCCATCATACACTATGTCTATGATTCAATAGACCTATTGTAAAGAAGTCCTATCTAATACTATGTTTACATAAAATTAGGCCTATTATATACTCGTACTAAGCTTATCACCCGAGATGTCAACTGCTCACTTGGGCTTTCAATACACTGCATGGACCTGGCATATAATGTCGTTCACTCAATGGGCTATAACACACCATATGTAATGCCTATCATGATAGCTAGTCATCTCATCATACGAAACATTTTATTATTGACTCATTTCACCACTCTAGCAATTATCATTGGACATTTCATCATTATAGCAATTCATCGTTGCATTTCATCACCATAACATTTCATCATTGCCCAAAGTGCATTTTGCAAACATCAGTACATGTAGGTGTAAATAAGTAATTAACATACTGAACCATTAAATAGCATATAATAAATGACATATATCGTGTGAGACACGAACCAACCTTGGGTTAGGCTCAAGGCAAGAACATGTTCATTTGGTAACCAACGCACAGGTTAGCCCTTTACGCCCTGAATTTTTGGGATGAAAATCGTAAAATTCACTTTTTCGGTTTTAAGTCTCACTTCAAAGCTGACATTCTGACCTATCCAACGGTACCAAAATCGTCTCTGTACGTTGATTTATGCCTTGACGACAGTTCGTGAAAGGGTTAGGGGTGGGGGAGTTCTTTAACATTTAATATGGGCGAAAATTACTGGACGGGCACATAAATAGACAACCTGAAGACGCTGCTCTTTAGTTACCCGGCTGCTGTCGTGTGGGATGGTGCTCATGCAGTCGTTCCCACCATCCTTGACTGAATTTCGGCTCCGGTAATGTCTAGTCTTGCATCTATGTCACCTTGAATGCCTATTTTGAGGGGCTCGGGACTTTGTCGCGCCCTACTGAACATTCACACTTATTGTCACTGCAAACCTATCTCCTCCCAGAGTTTTTAAGCTACAGCAATGAGTAATATACCGTTCGATTCGCAAATAAAAGATCTAGAGATTGGTCGAAGCTTTTTTTCATTTTCGTTATAGTTTTGAAAATATTTTGAAAAAATGGGGAGGGGAAATTCAAAAGGGAGGGGGGGAGAAACCAATTTTTTCGAAAAATGCCCACCCCACCAACAAAAATTAGAATTTTGAAAAACAGCAAGGACCAATCGATAGATATGGTCCTTACGCATCGAATGATATGCGTCTCCATGTTGTAGCTCAAAAATCATAGGAGGTGATAGATTTCTACAGTACCCCCTTTTTGTCAGTTTTCTAAGAATTTCACGTTTTCTTTCACTTTTTTGGAAAAATTTCCACGAACAAAAAAGTCTTAGATTTATCTTTTACATGTGTGTACCAAGTTTCAAAGTTATCTGTCAGTAATTAACCGAAATAGAATTTCCATAAGAAATTAGACATTGCCATTGGAAATTGGAAATTTTATTTCGGTTACTTACCGACAGATAACTTTGAAACTTGGTACACATATGTAAAAAATAAGTCTAAGACTTTTTTTATTCATGTGAATTTTTCGAAAAAATGACAGAAAACGTGAAATTGTTGGAAAACCGATGTTTTTTTCTGTGTGACGAATTCGTCACGCCAGGGCGTAAAGGGTTAGGTTAGGTTATGTTAGATTAGTTTAGGTAACGTTAGCTTAGGTTAGGTTAGGTTAAGTTGTGCTAGGTTAGGTTACACCTACATGCACATATGTTTGCAAAATGCACTTTTTGCAGTTATGAAATGTGCAATGAAGAATTGCTATAACGATTAAATTTTCAATTATGAGGTGCTGTATTTATAAAATATGTCGATGATTTAATGCGTGATTTGGCTCAGGACGAGACAAGATGATGAGATGACAGGGAACCGTCTACCACTCACATGACATAAAATACCTAGCCTACTACACGCTAGACCATCACTCTACCTACAATACGACGGCTCACCTGGCACCAGCACCGGAGACACCATGAGGTAGGTGATGCAGGCCGCCCCAGCTAGGCCAGCACTCTACAAGTTGAGCGTGACCACCACCATTAGGATCTCACCTAGCGGTCCCAGCCTGTAGTTGAGCGTTAATACAACCATTAGGACTCTCACCTAGCGGTCCAAGCCTGTAGTCGAGCTTCACCAAAACCATTAGGACTCTCACCTAATGGTCCCAGCCTGTAGTTGAGCGATAACACAACCATTAGGACTCTCATATAACGGTTCCAGCCTGTAGTGGAGCTTCACGACAACCATTATAGACTCTCACCTAGAGGTCCCAGCCTGTAGTCGAGCTTCACCACAATAATTAGGACTCTCACCTAGCGGTCCCAGCCTGTAGTTGAGCGTGACCACCACCAACCGGCCATAGCTGGCCAGCACGGTTCCATCGTACAAGTTCCCGGAGCCCCACCAGAAGGCTTCACCTTGGATGAACACCATAACGGGGTACGATCCGCCTCCTGCGTGGAAAAATTATCAGAAAATTTGCTCATTAGTCACGACCATTAAACAAGAAAAGTTGTTGAACATTGGGTAGCTTGACATCTGTGCATGTTATCTAAATTCTTAGATCAGGGACTAAAAAATCTTAACGCATAGTAATTTTTTTGTGATGGTAATACATTAAACTACAAAAAATTATTGAAAGATAGCATTAATTACAATAGTAGATTACTTAAATCATTAATTGTGGTATCATAGGAGTGGTTTGTTCCCATTTGCCACGAATAAAATTCATAAATAAAACATAAATTGACAGTCGAACTTCATTCGAAACTTCAATTAGCACGAGAAATAAATAAGAACATTTTCATATCATACAGTTATTTGAATATTTAAACGGTCTCCGAACGTAAGAGAACGAGAGCTACTAATTCAAGCATTCAATTTTCCAGATAAGATGCTCGAATCTTTCTCAAACGCTGCTCCGCCGTAACGATTCAAAATCTGCCTTCAATTTCCAGCTCTCTGAAATGCAGGGTTCCTTTAACCAGTTAAATTTAGCGTAAACTACGCACCAGTTTGCATAATTGCCAGCGAGGTGCACGTCAATAAAATAACTCTACGGAAGACGATGCCATCCTAGGCCCAACCAAAAGTGATATCGAGGCTCCTGTGTCTTTATGACGCAACCCTAACCTATTCCCATTTAAAACGAGCACCGGAAAATATTTCAGTTTGGCATGAATTGGTTTTGCCTATTTCGATTCTTTCTGAAATCCAGATAATACTGATTTGTTTTGATAAATAGTGAAAGTAGAATTTGTTCAATATTTTAAAGAGAAAATAACCCACATTGCAGGCCAAATGATTATTGTTTGAAGTTGAGGGAAATATTCCCTGATCAAGAAAAGTTAAGGTGAAAATCATTTGAAATACATCAAATGCGACAAAGTGTCAAAAAGTCTAGACCAATCCTCAATTTCTCTTTGTACTGGATTCAGCCTATTTTTTCAGTCGCAGAATTAATAATAATGCGGTTAATAATTAGTATTAAACTAAAATTCTCAGAATTTGCATCATATTATGATTCAACTAAATAAATAAAATATGTTTTATGACTGAATGAATCATATAAATGACATTGTAGAGGGCTTGTTGTAAATTATATTTTACTGTTGTAATATAATTCTTCTATTAAATATATAGGTATTGTAAATTTTTATTTAATTAGAATTAGTATTGTAGGAATGTTTTAGAGAAAGTTAGAGTCCAGAATAGAGATTGCGGATTAGGAACGAGCAGTAAGAAAGTGGACTTCAGTACGGCAACAAGGGTCTAGTGAGACGCTACGCTGAAACTAGATTTGTCGATGCACAGATATCTCGATAAGTCCACTAAAGTGAATTATTCCTTGTGCAATGTTTTACTGTAATGTGTGCAATAAAGTGTTTTAATATAACGGTGCTTCATTAAGTAACGAACCTGTGGGCTGCCACTATACCCACGACAACATCAGTAGACGCTAAGATAAGTGAAATGTAGTTGAGATAATTGTGGCATGCGCAGCATAGACATTGTATTTATTAGACAATTTGGCTAAAAGAAGCGAAAAAAATATAAAATATGCCCGAAGAATGTATTCCAATGCCGTAAAAGTTAGTAAAAACATAGAACGAAACATCACGACTAACGCAGAATTAAAATGACAAAGAGAATTAAAATGAAAACACAGCGTGGTATAACATTGCAGGAATGACCTGATTCTTGTGAGAAATTTTCATGTTTATCCCAAGTTTCATGACCAACGTCAACCGGATTTTTCAGACGCTAAAGTCATATTAATGAAGCTAACCTTGCTATAGATTTGTTTGCGAACAAACAATACCCAGACCTCATGCATAACACTATACTAACAAAACTTGTTGACGTCATCCTGAAGCCAGCAAAATTACTATTTGTGTAGCCAACAATCAGAAGTCTGTGTTCATCTCAATGGCAGGGATATTTTTAGTATCTTTCACGCGCAATTATTTGTTGAAAGGTTTCTATTAGGTTGTGAATGAATGTGTGGATCAATGTCTAGCCAGTAAAAATTTCGTCAGTAGAAATTTGGGGTAAAAATGTAATTTGTGATAATAAGCAATATTTTTTTCGACTATACGTTACAGGATAATCAAATTCTTTGACATATTTGCAGATAATATCAAATGTAAATAGTGCTTAAGCAGTATTCATTCTGTCTTGGAATCAGATCGGTCAGTGGGCATATAGAATTAAGAAGTTTAAATTATTATTGTATTATTTCTATTTAACGCGTCATAATAAACAGAAATATCTTGCTTATATAATACTAATTGTTAAAAAAATTAGTATTACGAGTATTATTACTAAGACAATCATTCATGGCATTTACATTTTTTTTATTTTGATCCGACGACAGTCGTACCGTTGGCAATTTCGTCGCTGAAATGACTCTCCGCCTGTTTGAACCTTGCTTCGATTTCCGTACTAATATCTCCCAAAGCCATAAAAAGCGCGCAGCGTTCATCATTTGACCCTAGAGGGCAGTAAGTGAAATAAGCTCGATAAATTTAATCCTTATCTTTAAGACGATAAACTCAGACGCCAACTCTATTTTTGCGTCGATGAGCAACATCGACGCAAAAACATCACCAAACCGTTTCCGTAATTACGCAAGGCCCCAAAAATTCGGCAGCGCTCTGTGCGAAGATTTTCGGATTTGCGTTTTCTACCGTCAATAACGGTGAAGGAATGTGATTTTTGGTCTCGCTGAGCAGTGATAAGGAAAGCTTAGTCGGCCATCGACCTAAAGACAAGACGGCGAGAAAATCCTGGCCTCATAAAGCTTGAGTTACGACCTCATTAGAATATTTACTTCCTGAGGCACTTGCGAGAAGTGGGCAGACGCTGGAAAGGTCTACGGATGAAAGCTTGGTAGAACACTGTTAGAAAAATTACCGTTTACGGTATTTCCGGCGTTTCAGTGGCCGGTCGGCACGTGAAAAAAACACCGTGTCGCCGTTTTTATTATAATTTAACACTAGAAAGCCGTAAAACATCTAATAAAAACGGTGAAACTGTTTATAATCACGGGGCGACCGGCCACTAGAACGCCAGTGGGACCGTTTTTTCACCGTTTTTTCTAACAGTGAATGTGAGACCTGGATAAATAGTACTAAGTAGTTATACTAAGTATACTACTAAGTAGTATACTAAGTAGTATACTAAGTAGTTATACGCTCGGCAAGTGGACCGACTCAGCATGGGTAAATTGAGTAAAATTCAAATGGTGCGTGCAATGTAGTTGAAGGGTGCAGGCTGTTGGGGGAAATGGCCGATGTTGCAATTTGGGCAGATGTCATCAGTGTGTAGAGTGATAAATAGTGTTTAAATTGAAAATGATCGAAATAAAATTTCTTGCAATGCTGCGATTAAGGTGATGTGTTTAATTTGTTCCGCTGATTCGAGCACAATAATGTAAGTAAGTAGGTTGACGACGAAAACTGAATTAGACTTGCGACCGATTAGTGGATCTGAGTAGATGATGAAAGCACAGTAGGTGCTACAAGATTAATGATTAATTTATTTATTTATGATTAATGTATTATTTAATCGCATTAGGCACTGAGAACAGGAATGTCTAGGTCATGTCAAGACTGAATTGACTGATGATGAAAGGTGAAATTATATAGACATTCAATGGTTTAGATGTTAAGGAGCTGCATCATAACTATTGGAAACTTTATTCTCCACACAGTTTAAAATTAAACACGAGCAATTATCCCAACTGCTTTGTTTATTTTAAAAATTTAATTGTGTAAATAACCTACATAGATAATTCACGTGACAAGTGGTTTTACCTTAAAATTGTACTAAACAATTCCAGCAAAAATTACTTACATCCTGATACATTGAATTCCATAATATTATTCCCAGCATTGGCATGGTTTGGAAGATTTGTGTGAGAGGTTATGAATAAAATCTTTCATTAGTCAGAACAACGTCGATGGGACACATTATACCTAATTTTTCAGGTGATCGTTTACTCTTTCCTTTGGTTTACCGTATGCAACGAAGTTGCTAAGAAAAATGGTATACTTTTTTTTGTTTTTCATGTGTTTGGATAGTTGTTTTTATTTCACATTCTTGCTTCATTTTTCGAGTTAAACGTCGAATCGCTACTTTAAATTAGATTTAGACCTATTTATTATCTGCTAGTTCTAATGTTCTATTCCGAATAATTGGAGTTTGTTTGCATTTTTCAAGAAACCTTAAACGCTTGGACACAATATCGTGGACACAATATTTGTCGCAAAAGCGAGAAAGAAATAAATTGAAGCAATACCAATCTATTGAACCTGTCAATACGGCGTAAAAGGATCCAATCGAAGTGGCAATGAATTCCTCACTCAAGTGAGGTTTGCTAAAATCACTGACTGCATTTGCCGTGCACTTGATTTCCTTTGAATAAATCCGGTTATCGCACCAAAAATGACAGAAAGTTGTTTGTAAATTCTGTTGTTGTTGTTTACAAATTTTGCAAGTTCTGACTTCTCTACCATTTAGGATATTTGATTATTATATTTAATATTAATAATATTTAATTGTTCTATAGGAGATGGTAAGCTAAAATTTTAGAATTAATTATGAATTTATAAATCGAGAACTAATTATGTTAGCACATAAAAATTTGAGGTAATGAATGACAGGAAAAATATTGTAGCGTATTGCATTAATTTAACTGCATAATTTAGACCCTGAATAAAATCACGAAAATATAATTTAAACATATGATGCATGTGTGCTTCTTAAATTTTGATTGATGTTCAAAGTTCCATCCAGGTTCTGCACAAGATAAAAAGATAATATTTTTAGTTATTTATAGATTTAGAAATGCTTGCTGACATTCATGGCCATGACAAGAGAATTTTTTTTTTCATTTTTTGGCGATAGAAAACGCTGCAGTTTCTCTGAAGAAATATGTGCAAAAAGTTATATTGTTCATTAATGCCGAACAAAGAATTATTGTTCTGTAGGAGATCTCTTTTCCCGCTGCCTCGCTAAAGCGATCGGCAAAGTCAAATAAGGATATGAAATGAAACGGACTTCGAAAAACTTATGGGGATTTTGGGCTCATATAACAATGGGTTTAATAATATACGTTTAAAAATTACTTTTTAAAGACAACACTTCTAAAGAATCCAGGGTTCCCAATGTTAAAGATGTACAATGAATTTCTCATTTTATTTTCGAAAATTAAAAAAATAAATTTTTTAAAATTTTTTAATATATAAAATTTTTTCAAAATTATTTATTCTGTCAATTGATTTATGCATTGCCTCCAATTTCACACACGTATGCAAAATTTCAGATCAATTGGAAAGGTGGAAGTGTGTCAAATATCATTTATAAGATTTGTAGCTGACAAAATTATATTGTCAATTTTTTTAATATTAAAATTTTTTTTTTTAATTTTCAAAATTATTTATTCGGTCAATTGATTCATGCATTGTCTCCAACTTTACGCAAGTGTGCAAAATTTCAGATCGATTGGACAGGTAGAAGTGTTTTAAATATCGATTATAAGATTTGTGGCAGACAAACAAACAAACAAACAAACAAACAAACAATAAGAAGTGAAGTTAAAGAGAAGTGTTGTAAAAACAAATTATTTCGGGCAAGAAAAGCTGGAAAAAATTGCGCATTGGCATTGTATGGCTCGTAACTATATTTTTTAAAATAATTTCTATATTAACTTGGCCAAATTGAAGCAATGTGCACATTGATTTTGACAAGTATTTGAAAAAAAAATATTTTTTTTTGTATTAGACCAAAGTATTAAGTACTTAACCGGAACGCAAGAGAGTCTTTAAGATTCAATTTGCAAAACCAATTACGTCAATCTGCATGCTAGTTAGTAGTTAATCTACCTTTGTTCAGTAAAATAAAAGAGTTTCTGCTAATAATAACTTCAAATTAAAAATTAATAACACCCAGTCATCCATATAGAATTGCAAATCCTTGTATTACATTTTTAATTTTTAACTGTCCTTCAAAAACTATTTTCAAAATCTCGATTTGATCATCTTAAGCTACGATGATGTAGATGACCAAGCTAATTCCGAAGTTGCAAGCCCTGATTTATTTGTACTTATTTGATGTGATATTTGTTGAAATATCAAGCCGCAACAAAATCCATAGCGACGGTGGGACCAAACTTCAATCATTTTGACTCCCGAATATCAAAGAAGCTCAACTGCTGCCATCTCCATTTTTTGGTCGTGGTAATAAGTCGCATGATAAACGTTCAGCTTGTCAATGAAACTGAACTCAAAAGATGCCTCAGAAAAAATTCCGGGTCGCCGCAGTTCTTCAGAATCGCGTCCAGAAATAACGAGGCTCGTCGTCTTGCAAGAAAGGCGTCAGCGATTTACTGAACCTGATCTATGAGTCATCAAATGGTCTCCTGGGCCCTGAAAATTGTGAAAAATATCCTTCCAAGAGTGATGGCTCGTCCGACGATAGATATATACATATAGAAACTGTGAACCGGACAATTTCGGCCTGAGATGAAGAGATATCTTTACAAAATCTTACGAGAATATTGAAGCGTTTTTAGAGTGCTTTGCGTTCGCGAAATTCTGTTTTGGAAATTCCTATGAAAGCGTTGGTGTTTTTTACAACACTTCTTTTTAACTTCACTTCTTTTTTGTCTGCTACAAATATTATAATCGATATTTAACACACTTCTACCTGTCCAACCAACCTGAAATTTTGCACACTTGCGTGAAGTCGGAGACAATGCATGAATCAAGTGACAGAATAAGTAATTTTGAAGAGTAAAAAAAATTATATATATATTACATATAAAAGAGAAATTCGTTGTACGTTATTAACATCGGACTCACTGGCCTCTTTAGAAGTATTGTCTATAAAAAGTAATTTTTAAACGCATATTATTTAACTTGATTACGTTGTGAATATCAGGAAATGTATTTGGGAGCAATATTTTAACATTCTGGAAGTTCTGACTTTCCAAAAATGCTGAACCGAAGTTTATTCCTCAAAATAAAAAGGTTTTGTATATTTTCTCCTAAATTTGAGGAAATAATTAGGTTTCCAGTTCATGAAAAATATTCGATTTTAAGTACCAGAATTTTATTTTTTAGCAAAAATGTTTGAAGATGTAAGTTTTTAGAAATTTTATTATCATGCACGTTAAAAATCTGTTCGTTGATGTTATACCAGTGATGAAAATATTTTGGCATGACATAATGAAGCTGCTGTTCGAAAAATGAAGGAAGGAAGCTGCGTTCACTTGACCTCGTTCTTAGCCACGCGAAGAGTTAAAAAATTATTTACTTATATCCCTTACTGAGAGTTATTGTTTCTATCTTTATTTCATTACAATATTCATACGTTGCTTGGGGTTTACTAATTAAGACAGATATTCACTTCGAGAGTGAATATCTTAGTTGAAACAGTGAACGGTTAGTTGAAAATAATTAATGGTATTATAATCTTTTAAGTAAAGTCACGTTGCCATGCGGTTCTCTAGAGTTTGTTAGAATCTATCTATCGTTAGAACAGTTTTCTTAGGAGCGTATGCTAGAGGAGCTAGTTAGAAGCGTTTGTTTCAATTGTTCGTTAAAAACGATCGTTGGAAGCGTACTTTATGGAAACTTTCGTTAGTAGCGCTCGTTAGAATCGTTCACTAAAATCGTTCCCTAAAACTATTCTTTAGGATAGTTTGTTAGAAAGGCTCGTTATAAGTTTCTTTGGAATCGTTGCCTAGAGATGTTCGTTAGAACATTTCCCTAGATAACGGTAAAGTACTAACATAATAAATACATTTCGTAAGCACAATTCGTAAAAAGCGTTCATTACATAGAACCCCTCGATGTTTTCGTCTATGAAATAAACGTGGTTAGAAGCGTTTCTTAAGCACGTTTATAAGGAACGTTCGAAAGAATTATTCATAATAGCCATTTGTTATAAACGTTTGCAAAGATCGCGTTCCTGCCTTGAAAATAGACGTGCCGCTAGTCTTAGTAAATTACAACGCTATGATAATCCGTCTGTCACAGCAAGAGTGATGTTCTCTAGAAACCCTGAGAAAATATAGACCTCATAATCGCCCGAGGCTTGTAACAAGTAAATTTATTAGGGAATTACGAGCCCGCGCTACTTTAGCAAAGATGAATACCGGTCTCCGCGCCGAGCTTTTCACCTGGTCTAATGTGGTCGTAATTTAAGACCAAAAAACGAAAAGTAACGTGTAATTTGAGATTTATGATAATATATTTAGTTTCAGACTGATAAATGAAAGTAAATTTCATCGTGCTATGTAGTAAATTTGATAATTTATTTGTTGCAAATACCTATAAAATAATTGACAAAATGAATGGCGATGGAATATGCAATCTTATCTTAGCAGACGACTGAATATATTTTTTTAATAAAATATGTTCAAATTTCTACTGACGAAAGATGGAGTGAAATAAAATTTATAGAATTATTTTTAAATTTTAATCGCTTCCTTCTGGAATAGAAATTAACTACGAAATATCTGCTCAAAATCCAGACTATATAATTCAAGGTACGGCTCAGTTTTCCATTGTCGAGTCGTGTTTCTACAATGGGTAACATTTCGAGAAAGCTCATTTCTAATATTTTGTTTGTCTGATGAGTAGAAAAAAATGAGTGAGGTATCATTTCTGAGTGAGGTACTTTTCTGAGTGAGGTATCTGAATAAGGTATCTGAGTGAGGGATCTTTTCTGAGTGAGGTATCTTTTCTGAGTGAGGTATCTGAATAAGGTATCTGAGTGAGGTATCTTTAAATGAGTGAGGTATCTGAGTGAGGTATCTTTTCTGAGTGAGGTATCTGAATGAGGTATCTTTTCTGAGTGAGGTATCTGAATGAGGTATCTTTTCTGAGTGAGGTATCTGAATGAGGTATCTTTTCTGAGTGAGGTATCTGAATGAGGTATCTGAATTAGGCATCTTTAAATGAGTGAGGTATCTTTTCGAGGAAGCTCATATATAATATTTTGTTTGTCTGATGAGTAGAAAGAAATGAGTGCGTCTACTCACCATGATGAGGCGCGTAGATGTTGAGGTAGAGGCAGTCTTCGCTTTGACGCTCAAGTTTTCGACTCGCAGATCTGGGTGCAAACATTTCATTTTAAATTAATACAATTAACAAGCACAATATTTACACGCATGTCATGGATTAAATTATTTTATTATTTGAAATAAATTAGGAAAACTGGTGTGTAATTCTGATTCATTCGAGTCAAAGGGATTTACCGATATAGCGACACCTAATTTTCATCAATGGAGTCCATTGACCAGCAAAAAATCTAAATCTATCTCATGGACAAAAATATTTTTTGTTTCATACCTGAGATATTGCATTCGATCAGGTGGCAGCGACCCTCCTGGGTACCCCAAATGAGGGAGTTGCTGGGGACACACAGGGGGAAGTTCTGTGCATTTCTTCACCGCGTCCCATGGCAATGGGGAGCTAGTTGGGGTAAACCGTCCTTCCCCTGTAGGAGGGCTGGCGTAGGGTACTCCCAAAAACACCTCCACAGCGGGGAGTGTTGCTGATGAGTGTTGGCGGATAACTCCTTGTATGGGGCCATACTTGGTGGTCACCACTCTGCTCAACAGCTGGTCGCATGTGCAGGTGGTTGAAAAAAACACCTGCACAACCACCTGCAAGATCAGCTGCCTCCTAGTGCGTTTTTGTTGATACATTGCCTGAATTTCCTTAGTCAGGCAAATGCTCCCTTTTCAATTGATTTTTTGAATTCATACATTGTCATCCTTTGTCTTTATTTCAAAATTTTCAGGAATGCATTTTCAGGCTTATAATTTTTTTGATTAATTTCAAAACCTTTGTACTTCTTTTCTCCAGTTGAAAATTTTTCTATTTCAACACCTCAAACGACGCAAAAGCCTAAAGCCTAACGTCTCAGCAACCAAAGTTTAAGTTTAACTTCACTCTCACATTGTTGAAGTCTATAATAGTTAGTTAGTATAACTTTAAATATTTCAATAGGAATTGATTATACACCTCACCTCCAGCGTTTCTCTCGTATGCAAACATTATATATTCTAGCATTGCAAAATTTCTGTAATATCCTGCAATCGTCGCCTTAATTACGTAACTGTGAAACCTAAAACAAATATGTAAATTGTGAACATTTGCAGTCATAGATGAAAAATAGTTCACTGACAAACCTAAAGCTATCTCACTGATAAGCTCTTCAGTAATAAGGTACGTGGTTCTTAAATTATTTTTGTTCGTTTTTTTCTGACTTGCAATGCGATGAAATTAAAGTAATGAAAATTTGAATCATGTACAGATTTTCATCCTTATCCACCAGTACGTGTTGTGACAGATATAAAACACAGAAAATTATTTTGTCATTGACATATTATGATGTTAGATTTAGATCTCTTCTCATTAGTATTACGAAATATAACGCACACGTAGAGTTCCTGAGTCTGTAAATATTTAAATTTAAATATATTACATATGTCAACGATGTCTCCTCCTACGCCTATCAAAGGCAAACCTCAGGCAAGGAAGCTGGAGAAACTTGAAGTCTTCAGGGACTGGGATGCTGAAGACCCAATTCAAGGAGTACAAATCGTGAATTTAACTGATGAAAAAACTGAATCCAAAACGAGAACATGACATATGCATGTCGTGGAAGATCATCTTTGTACTTTCAGGAAGGAAATGATGACCGAAATTTAACTTGCTTCTATGTTTTTTTCTCGATTAAGCGTCATTCGAAATTGAAATCAGTTGAGGAAGAAGGACTGCTGAGAGCAGCCTGCCTCGATAGAGGAAATAGCTTCCGCGGGTCACATTTCACAGATATTTGCTCAAATATCTGTCAGCCGACAACAATCGGCGAAGAACTGTCTGGCAAGGAATGAATCTGGAGAGCGAAGTACGATCTGACTCTGGAATTGATGAACACTAGCCTGTCAGGCTCCAATTTTGGAGTGACTCGCGCTGCCTGCTTCAAGTCAAATTAAGTAAAAATTTAGAGCCAAAGTTCGAAAAAGCGAATTTGTTTAAATTGATTTACGACTCATTTTAGTTTCTGTCAACATTCAGCAAACATATTTTTATCGTTTTAGAAACTGAATTGAAATTCTAAATAACTTTCGAGTAGGATTCTAAATTGAGAAAAATTTTGATCAAATACTTTAGGGAATTTTATTTTATCGGATTCCGTAGTTCGGTGCATGCATATGTACAAAATTACCAAAGTCCAATATATGTTCTATACAAGATGGACAATCATTTTACTAGTAAAAGAGTAGATTTTTCATTCAACTGTCCAAATATGTCTATAAAATTTAACTCAGTCAAATCAAATAATGTATGATGGAAAAGTTATGTAAGGTTCCACCTATCCAATTTGCATTACCTAAATAAAAATTAAGGAAAATTTTGAATCTTACTTTAAATTAACTCTCTTATAAAATCTTACAAAAATTTTGGTAATTTTGCACAATTTTTATCGACAAGATAAGTGAAGTTTGATTGATTGCAGAGTCCAAACTGTCCTATTGAAAGATGATATTGTAAGTCATATCTGCTTCCTTTTAATTACAGTGGTACGTGGGCAGTCGTTGCTAATCCTTTGCAGGCACCGCAGAGGTGAATTGTATCAAAAATTATGTGTTATATCGTATAAATCGCATAAAACGCACAAATGAATGACCTGAGTAGGAAACATTTTTTTAAATCTTCATAAGGTAGGATACGGTACGTTGGCTGATTAACGAAACAGAGCATCATGCGCTTAAAAAAATTGCATGGATTGTTTTGACCGCTAAATTTCAATTGATGTGTTGCAGTTGGAAACGTTTTTTCGCAGTTTTTTCTGATTGCGATAAAAACTCTATATACAAAAATCGATTACTTAACTCAATACAATAAGTAGTGAACAGTTATCAAATGTATTTCATTATTATTGTGGGGAAGCTGCGCTCTAGTGCTGCTCACATTGAATTTTAGAGTACTGAACAATTTGGTTCTGAAAAGTTCAGTTTTTAGTGCTGAACTTTTAATTATGAACGAGTAGCTCATTACCTGACACCTTGATTATATTTTGGAGGTCTAATACTGCACGTAATCAACTGTTTTATAGCCTGGATCAATCTTTTCAACTCATGATCGGTCATCCAGTGAAATTATTTAATAAATTCACTGGATCCTTGCAATTCCTAAGCGGATTGAGGGACAATCTCAAACATGGAATAAACTTTATTAAAATTAAGATGTACACGATAAATTGAAGGAAAGGATATAGTAAAACTAGATAGATGCGTAATTTTTAGTAGTGTATACACAATTTCAAGTTTATTCTTTCGATGATATTTTATTCTTTTATAAATGGCTATGAACGATATAATTTCAGGTTTCTTGCCATTAGTCGTATTCTTCAAACAAAATACCATATTTTCAGGTTCTCCTATATTTCTTCACAAATTTAACATTTATATTAGGTCTTCGTTCCTGGAGTTATTAGAGCATAGCGAACTGACACCAATGCTTTAGAGAACAAAGAAGCTTTTTAACGCATTTTCTCATTTAAGAGAAAAAAATGCACTATTGGGCTCGCCATGTCCGTCTGTCCTTCCGTCTGTCCGTCTGTCTGTCCGTCTGTCTGTCCGTCTGTCTGTCCGTCCGTCCGTGACTTCACGTTTTCGTCGACGAGAAAATCCGCTCTCTGTCACTCACTGCAGTGAGTATCGAGTTATATTTTTTTGTTTGCGGTGTTCTTGCGTAGGTCGTGAGGTCGTGTTCTATTAATCTAGTTTCATAGTTTAACTAGAGGTTATCAGGTTAGGCAATTTACGCGTTTTCCTGCAGCCTCGGAACTCAGTTACGTTGCGCCTAGCAACATTTTCATCCATTTTCCTAGAGTAATGCCTTCGATTGTTATTCATGCTTCTTAGTTTCACTCTTCCACAGTATAGGGTCTTATTATTATGCGGATGCACGCGTTCATACGTCATAATAAATATTGTTACCTCATTTGTATTGTATTATTTACTTGTCAACTCTTCCAGTGGAAACGCTGTATTGAAATAATTAGTGAGTGCTTCAGTCTTTCCGTTAATACACATTTAATTACTTTGATGAAATTAAATTTGCATTCGAATTGATAATATCAGTCAAATGATGGATATTGGTAATGTCGCAAAGTTGTTTGATCAGCATCCCTGCAAGCCCCTATCATAACGATACATAAGGCTAGTGTACCAAACTTTTTTCTTAGCAAGCTAAACATTTTCCATTTCCCCGACACGTTCGCAACAACCAATATCACGCTATGGAGCCGCCATTACCGAACCTAAAAAATGACGCAATTTTCCGCCAGTCTTTCCATGGCGACCTGTGATCAGGCCGCATCATGGATACCGAACAGCGTGAAGCCCCGGTACAAAATCAAAAGATTTCTTTTTGGCCTGAAAGAGCCGCAAGGAAATAGGTCAACATGCCCATAGGCGCATCCATGAGAAATAAGAGCTGTAAATCTTACATCTTGGTCGCAAAGAAGCCCAAAGCATTGGCACGGAAATTTTTATTTCTTCTACGGAGAAGAGAAGACGATAAATTTACGCGTCACAATATTGAACTGTCACGTGTATTTTGATACTACGTCGAGGCAAGAAATCATTGTCAAATTAATCGCAGAATGGAACAATAGCTGTTCTATTCTAAGCCGAACTAAATGTACAAAAAATTTTCCACACAAAGTGAATATCAAGTTAATTCCATATTTTATCAATTCAGTAATAAATTATATAATAATTGCAGTTACGTACAGGGATGAAGAGATCACAATCGGAATACCAGATTACAGCAACGAAATTCTACAAATCTTTTCAAAATATTCTGAATCTACTTGAGCTGAATATTTGCAGAACAATAATTCCGCCACACTTCGGGGTTATAGTCTTTTATGAATCTAACCAAACCACACGAGTGCGGACACAAAAATTCTAAACTAACTGTACAGTGTACACTGCAGGGAGAACATTATCCTATGCTCAAAAACTAAATAAACAACTGTGAATCCATTTAGCGTTGTAACCTAATTTATTCCTGCATGGCTGAAGCTGGCAGTCGAAGGCATGCAAAGAAACACAGCGAGGGTTCGAAAGACCATTCAATGCTTCACAGTTATCGCAATCGCATTGCAAGTTGACGGTTAGTACAAATGACTTTGAAAGTCACGGAAGGAATAATAGTTCATGGAAACAATATATGTCCATCTTGATTGTTAGTAATTATAGAACAAAATTTTAATTGCAGTGTACATTGATGCATGCAAGTTCAATTATTACCTTGAAAAAAGCTCAGTATTTGATAAAGGAGAACAATTCACACTAAGTACATTCCCCCTCCCCCGCGCAAAAAAACATGATATGGATACGATAGATCGAGATAGATAAACATACTTTCACAACAAAATGAGGTCGAAGAATGGCATAAATCGGTGTTTATCTTAACAAAAAACAAGAAATGATTATGGAATGGTTGTTGATGCCAGAGTAAACGAGCCTTAATTGAACTATTATCCGGAACTTATAACAATTGAAATACAATTTAAATTATAAGAAATAAAATATGAATTATTTGAAAGAGAAACGTGCAGCGTGACTCAGAGGAAAACGGATCCATGAAAGCCGTTCGACAAAGCGTCAGGATTGCATCAATATTTGTGTGCAAAAACTAAAATAGTGCAAAGAACTTGCGTTTATCTAAACGGACCCAGTTTAACAGGCGTAAATATTGCCCAGCTGATGCCTTACCCGATAAACGCCACGCTCGAAATGA